CGTTAACATAAAGAATTTTATTCGCTTTTAATTTACATTTATCTATTTGTTACAAATTCGTGATCACATTTTTATTACATTATGATACTCGCTACACCACACGTTATTATCGTTTAAATACACTTTATATATTTTTAGATTGACTCATTATATGCGGTAGAAGTTAATTATTGTTCCCCGAAGTTAATGATTTTTTTAATCGTTTCACAATAAATTCGGTAAAATGACCAGCATACATACATAGAAAACTGTAATTTCTACGGTACACTCTCAATCGTTCATCGTGCTTTTTATAGATCGAGTCTCACTTTTTATAGATCTTACGGCTACCTATGTATATAGCAGCAAATACAGAGTTTCCAATTAAAATTAAAAACTTTCACGGGCTCGCATTATCGTCAATTAATTTGCACCATTAACTCTTACTTACATAGCTCATTTCTTCAATAAGAATCTTGCTCGTGAACACTTTGACTGTTACGCCACAACCTCAAAATTTCACAAAATTATAGAGTTTCATAGAATCGAAGCATTTCATTTAATTAAATTAAAATTGTAAAATTAAGTTGTATGGCATCAATTACTTTTGCAATATCCTTACGTTTTGCGGGTCCCAAGCAAACCGAGAAGACATACTAGATTAGAGTAACAATTAATACGGTCATAAAAAAAGCGTGACACGATGGTCAAAGCGTTCAAGCATAAACTAATGGGAAATTGCAATGTTTCATTTCGTTATATTTTATAGAATGCAACAGAAGTAACCAATGATTTCACAGTTTAATTTCCGAGGATATTTCTAGAAAGCTGTCGATCTGGTAGTACGCAAACCGATCAATGGATAAACAAACCGACGCAATTGTTCATTGTACGATGAAAATTTGCGGAATGCGAGTACGCAAGCGCGAAACGAACGTTTTCGCGAAACGTTTCGGAAAGCGGAAAGCCGGCGATGTTCGCGGAATCGGTCAGCTTCCCTGTCCACCGTCCTCATTGAAAATACCTTTAATTGTTATCGGTGGTGTGACGTAACATCGAAGAAATTTTTCTATTATCGACGCTGATACGACGTGGGCGTGACTCGGACAACGGATATAGTAACACACGTGACGAAAAAGGAACTCGAGTTTTGAACTCTGATACAAATACCTTTTCGACGAATCGTAAGTTTCATCGGCCGTTTCTGCGAATTCGTTGTTCACCCGATCGACGGGGAAACTACCGTACGTATCTTATTCGGTGATTTACGCGATATTGGCAGCTCGCAGAAGCCCGCGGTTGCAACTGCGAATGCAAACAAAAGCTCGCCTCTAATTCGAACAGAAGCAGAAATAGAGTCGGCTCGGTTGTTGGCTGTTCGATATCCTTATTTGCGAGCCGCTGAATCGCTTTCCACTCGGACGAATCCAGGTAACATGGAGCATCGTAAAATCGCGATGAAGAACCAAAGCAATAAATCTGTGGTTGCAAGGAAAAACATCGCGTGTCACATGTTTTCACTTTCGAAATATCGTTGTTTCACGCTAAATCCACAAATTCCGATCGAATGACCGGTTCTTTACGTTTTATTTTACAATTAACGAGATTATAAAAATAATTTTATAGAAAACAATTGAATAAATATTTTTGTGATCAAAATTTTGAAGTCTATCGAGTTTGTTTCCACGTTTTTTCCCTAAAAACCATGTAAATTCTACGGCTCAATTAATGAGACTTAATTAAATTAATGGTCGTTTTAAATAGAACTCCAATATGTTACCGTTGCAATTAAATGCAATAACTGATCAGATTAAAATATTACTCTTCCCTCGTCCAATGTCCATTAACAATGACAAAATGATTAATTTATAACGACGATTTAAGCTATTTTACAAATGGAAAATGTAATTTTGTAACGTTTCTGCTTACTTTCAATATTATTTTAATAGTTCTCTTGTATTTATGGTTCATGATGATGCACTGATATAATTTTCTCTATCAGCTATTATTTACTATTTATCATATCTATTAATTTTGATAATCTCCACAGATTGAACATCGAATTCGAACTTTCCAGGTCACAGAAATTCGATAACCCATATTCCCAAATCATGATATCGAAAATATGAAACTACGTAATTTTTTCCCTCCGTTCGTAATAATTCAACTTCGCAAATAGAAAATTCACCATGGCGTTCAGAACAGTTTAATGAAAATGTTTGTAGCGCTTTAATTACTTCAACATTCTACGGAATATTGATTTTCCGTTACGGTTCGTTAACCCGTTCCGTTGTTCAAACCTTCCTGGGTGTACTCGCAAACGTTGATTGTCCGAAAAACAAGAGAACGCAAATTCTCAGTAATATCAAGTTTCATTGGATGGTCTCGTCCTTGTCTTGTTGAAATTGTGTTCTATGCATTTCGATCGTCCGCCAGTATTAATTACATCTTGCGCCTGAACATTCCAGGTTAAGCACGTAACTCGATCTGGGCGTGATTTTCGTAGTTTACGTTGCAAAACCAAAGATTAATCATCCAAGATAAATTTAGGGAGTACCGCAAGCACAGAATTATTATCCCCGGGATCACCGTCAAAACTGTCTAGAAGTTTAAAAACAGTCGTGTCTATTTTGACAAATGCTAATACGGGCCGCCTCGTTATGATACACTAGCTAAAATCGAAAATGATTTATCATTCGCTCGTACTGGATTTAACTGTATTGATTTTACCGCGTCTATAAATAAAGCACCAGTATAATCTGTTTAGAAACCCATGACCAATAGAGCTGTTGCTCCGACACACTGGAAGAACCTTATTTGCTTAAAGTCTAGTTTAGTCTTGTTTAATGTTTAGTTACATTTCACTTAATTCTCATTATGATTACGTGGATATACCGGTAAAAACTATACGAGAATTTTCTGTAGATGCATTTTAAAATTTAAGGAATTATAGAATACAAAATCTGAAATGTATAATTTTTACCATAGACCGATAGATCGATAGATCCAATGGTAATTTGTAATTGAATTGAAAAACAATCAATTATTTGAAATAATTTATTTTAAGTAGATTGACGCGAATTTAAATTTAACAATTTTAAAATGTTCGCATACATAGTAGACGTTTTGTGTTTTTTTAATTAACCTGTAAGTCGTTTGAATGCTGAAATCTTGAGAAATATGCTATGGTGTCACAATAATGCAAATAGCAAGTGCATTAGCAATGCTAAATTTCTCGTTTCATTAAATTATCTCACTTTGCAATCATCAAACAGCACGCCAAATTTATTTACAAAATCGATGTAACAAGAGAAAACTGTTATATACACGTTTCGATAAATCAATATTCATCTTGTTCGATAATTTAACGAAAACCGATAACGACAATTAGTATGCACCTGTCATTTCCTTAAAACGCCGACCATGTATAAAATCCATTTCTTTCGATTTTTATAGCCAATTTTCCTTTCGTTTTGACATTTATTCTATGATTATAATAAATATAATTAGTTTTCTCTCCCTCTTGACATTTACCTAATGATTTTATTCGTTCAATTTATTTTAAAAACTTTTTAAAAATCAATAATTTAAGAACTTTTCAAAATTGGAGGATTTCAAAATTTTCAAAATTTATTGCTGCAATGATTGTTTATAAAATGGTGAATTCTTTCAAATACATTATAGAATCATCTCCTTTAACATTCGGAATAGTGAAAATTGCTTTATTTAAAACAGTTATTATTGTTGCACGCAAAGTGTAAACAATGTTGCTGTAGTCACAATCGTGTGCCAACGAAAAAAGATGAAACGGTTGCATAAAATTCTACCTTCAACACAAATTTTCATCTTCCTCGTAAGTACCAACGTCAACAAATTTATGAATGGGGTGCACAGGGAAAATAATTGGCCAGTAGAGAAGAATTCTTGAGGAACTGCCGATTCCATACGGTAATGCGTGCGAAGCTTAAAAACGTGATCGGCCGAACAGTGCTTGACTTTGACAGTTATCGTTCGACCGTCGTAGACGATGGACGTCGCATAATGCTGCGAAATTCCCGAGCAACCTGTCCGATGGTGGCCGTGAAAACGTCGTATGACGTCAATGTCACTACGCTCAGAATGAAACTGAATAACGTCTTGCGGTGATAAAATTACCAATGGACGTATCACGTAATACTGTAACGTGACATAACTCCTTCTACCAAACCGTGCGCTGAAACACGAAGTGAAATGACCACGGAAGCATCCGAAACCAGAAATTGGAATAAACAGGCGCTAACGCTTGACACGGACAGATTTCACCCTCGCCAATGTTATACGCCAAGATTTTCTCGTCTAGTGTGCCCGTAAGTAGCTTCCAGCGAGAACAGTTCACAAATGTTCCGAGTAAAACGGACAAGATTTTAGAAACAAGTTTAATCCCGGAACGACACCCTGGAGTTATCGCGAGCCCACAACATTTTTTATTTGTCCCCAAAGCGTAAATAGATACTGAAATATTGAGGTTGCATATTAAGTAATCTAACATAGATGTAAAATATATAATATAGAATAAATATAATATTTCACAAATCAAATAT